TGAAGCCACATTCTTGTTAACCTGGGTGCAATTGGAAATTAGTTGATTATTGAGTCTTTTTAATTAGCAAATAAGAAAATCACTAAATAATGTCAGACTGGTGACATCCTTTACTAGGTATGCAAAGAATCACAAACATGATATGAACTTGTACCACAAATGCTTTAAGTGGGCCATTTGTGTAACTTAGCCACAATTCCATCACTTAATGCCAAAACTATAAGTTTCATGTATTTAAAATACCTTTGGATCTTAGAGATTTGGTATTCAGATACATGAACTAAGAATTTTTTAGTTTAATAATGTCTTCAGAACTAACAGAATACTTTATCTCTCACTGTTAGGTTAATAAATGTACATTTTATATGAGTTTATATTTTACTCGGTCCTAAGAATCTATATTAGTAGTCTTATACATTGGATGAACAAAGTAGAAGTTGTTTTTTGCTTTTTGATGTTGTAGTTTTATCTTAGGTTGCAATTCTCATTTATCAAGTTCATTTAGAAAATGTAGCTCTGTTAAGAAAATGACAAAGACAACAAGAGGGATGAGGGCAACTCATCTTAAGGTATGTTTACATCTGTGATATAAAACCTGGTCACTGATAATGTTGCTTATCCCTGCACACTTAAATATAAATCCTAGTCATTACTGCTTACTCCTGGAATTAATAAAAACAAAGACTGTTAACTTAAAGAAAAGAACCACAGTTTTTATTTGCAGGGGGAAATCCAATGCCCATCAGCCTTTGTGGAAGGCAAAAGGGAATTTGCAATAGCCAGCAACTTTGCTAATATTTCACAAATATATTGCTATTTTTTTCCTGAAGGCACCTCACTTTCTAATGAGACAGGAGCCATCATGTTGCTAACAGCCTACACTGATGGCCTGGATTTAGAAATAAATTTGCAATTATTTTAGTATTGCTTGGCTTTTTTGAATGAGCTCTGTAGGAAAACAGAGGCTTATTCTTCTCTGGGGCACACACACCCAACGAGTCATTTTTCACTTCTGAGATTGCTAAGGAGAAGAGAGAGTGATTTGAGGAGTTAAGATGAATCATAGAAAAAGATTTCTTCTAATCACTTTACCATCATGCTGTGCATTTCTGCATCTATTTAAAAATTAACTTATGACCCCTTATTATAGATTACTCTCAGTCACGCACATAGCTTCCCTCTAAAACCATTATTATAACTTCTGTTCAACACACAAGTGGTTTTGACTTGTTAGTATGGACAGATCACAGGACTCTCAAGGAATATCAGGTTAGTTTTAATCTTTCACTATGATCAAAATGGGATAAATGTATGCTTGTGACTGTGTGTGCCTTGATAACATTTATTTGAAAATTATCAGACAAAACTTTGCCCAGGGCTTAGAAGAGTGTTCTGGGAAAAATAAATTCAGGGAAAATTATTTAGGAAATGCTTCATAGAT